TACTGTGCTAAGGGAGAAATATGGCAGAGGAAAGAAGCAAGCTGTTCTCCTTCTGTTCCTGAAGAAAGTAAGAGGAAGGGGGCTTTAGGTTATGGGGGTGACCCCAGTGTAAACAGGCTTTGCCAAAAACCAGACTTCTTGTAAGATGACTCCAGTGCAGAGCGACCCTGCAGAACCAAGCAAAACTGCCCCCTTGAGTCTCTGAGGCTGTAAATCTTAACAGGAACATACTCTTCATTCCATCTTTCTCCCATAGAGCAGCTGGAGGGTTCAAACCACAGACCTTCTGACAACCAGCCCAACCCTTAACCCACTGTGCCACTAGGGCTCTTTAAAAAAAAATCCCACGTCCCTGCTGGATGTGAAGCCTCCTTCCCAAGATGCTGATGAAATCACCTGCTTACAGCAAATGCATTTCAACCTCTGCCGAGTCTCAGGTGCATTCAGAAAGACAATCTGTCTTGGGTTCAAATCCCACCTACTCTTCAGGTGGCCATCTAGCCTTGATCCTGTGGTCTAGCCGCTGTACTTCTGGCTCACCTGTGACAGGAGCCGCCACACTCAGGTGACAGGGCTGACGACAGGTTCGTCTGAGACAGTCAACGCGGCAAAGCCAGTCATGCTTGCTCACTGTTGTCAAGTCAGAGTCAGCTCTTAACTGACAGACCCTCCAGCTGATTTTAAGACTCTAAATGGACTGCCAGGAGAACAAACAGGTTTGTCCTAGAGAGGGTGAAGCCAGGCTGCTCCTTGGAGGCAAGGATTCTGAGGCTTTGTCTGACATTCTTTGGGCGTGTTGCAAGGAGGTCCTTGTAACCGGTCCTTGGAGAGGGGCATCATGCTTGGAAGGGCAGAGGGATGGAGAAAGAGAGACGAGAGATGGCACTGATCCAGTGACTGGGGTAATGAGGGTGGGTGTGTCAGAAGACAGTCAAGTTGGCACAGGTTAGAGCAGGTCTCAGGGCTGTTGTATACAGGGTCGTTATAAGAGACCTGATGGCACATAACAACAAACAACAGATCAATCTCACAAGAAGAAGCTGATGAATTCTACCCAGCACCCAGGCCATTGTGCCAGGGGCGACTGTAACATATCTGCTTTGTTCAAGACATCGCTTGACTATATAACTCTGCATCAAGTCCCACTCAGCTAATTAGTTATTAACTAATAATAACAAGAACATGTGGGGTTCCCCTTTGAATTTCACAGAACCCTCTATAATAGGCGCTATAATCTCCCCTTTTTTCCACTAAAAATTGTGACAAAGCAGAGATGTTGAATCCTTGCTCAAGGTCACACAGCTAGCTAATAGATAATACAGTCAGAAGGCCCTGGGTAATCTGATTCCAGAGTCAAGTCTGTAACCCCTAACAAAATGTGTCTGAATGTTACTGTTGTTGTCAGGAGAGTGTCCCTTTTCTCGCTGGTGGTCTATCTCCCTCCCCCCACTCCATTCTCAAGCCTGGGTTCCCCAACGCAGCGCCCCAAAGCTTGAGGCTGCAAAGAAGCACTTGTTAACTGGACAGCTCAGGGAGGAGCTCAGATTAGCCGCCCACCATGCCCACCAATCATTCACAGGACAATTTTCTCTCAAGATTAATCCTCTCAGTGGTCTCTGAGAGGAGAGGCCGCAGGCGGCAGCCCACAGGCCTTTTTAACCAGCCTGTCAGCAACGGGAAAGCCTCTTACTTCTTGTATCTTCCCGGGGATCAACTGTTCACTCCAAAGGGAGGAGGCAAACGCTCACGTTCAGTGACTTTCAGGAAGCACCCAGCCAGGACGGCCAGAGGACGGGTCTAACGTGTGAATCTCGGTGCTTGATTTCTCCCTCCACACCCCTTCTTCTCCCAGAGACGGGCACACAAGCGGCTGGCCACAGTCCACAAGTACCCGGCCAAGGAAACACAAAAAGACCCTCTACCTGCAGTCTGCAGCTCCACAAACAGGG